ATGCCCCCCCCCCGCTAAACCACTGGTCCGTTAAACGTGCCAGACACGTAAGTTACATTCTACATTAATTTTTTACCCCCAAATTTACCAGGTTTTAAAACCAGTTTTTCTAGGTTACCAGGTTACCAGGTTTCTGACCAGGTTTTCAAGGGCCAAACCAGGTTACAGGTTACAAAATTTACCGGTTACCAAAAGGTTTTTCCAGTTAAATAGGTTTTTCCCCCCAAATTTTTCCAGTTTTTTTCTAAAACCTAGGGGCCCCCGGGGTTTTTTACAAAGGTCAAACAGGTTTAAACCAGGTTACTATTATTTTTTTGTTAATAGTAGTTACGGAGAATCCTGGACGGTTTTTCCCAGGGGGACTAAATTAAAGCGCCAATCCTCAAAAATTTATTAAAATAAAATTTCTTTTAAATTTTAAACCTTTTTATAATAAAGGAAAAAACCAACAAATTTTTGGGGCGATTGTTTCTGTTCTCAACGGTAAAAATGAGCATCCCCTGTGCCCCCTGCCCTCACGGACTTACACACTTCAGTACCAAAACACAAAAGCCCAAAAAGTAGTTTTTCCCTTTTTAAACTACCGTATTGGGGAGGGTATTGCTGAGGTCACTATCAAAGAATGGAAAAGTTTTAGTAATTTTTTTCGATAATACTAATTTGCAAGAGTCTATATTTCCCCCCAGTGGGGGGAAAAGCCCTCCACAAATTTTTGATTCGGCTACCTTTTGGGAAAAATGCGGTTTTTTTTTGGAAAAGAGATTAAACTCCTCACTAACCTCTTTATAACCGAAACCCCCCGATAAAAATCATGTATTTGTTTTATTGAAAATTGGGGGGGTTCCGATTTTACATTTCAGGTTTTTTTTAACTGAATTTAAGTAAAAAGCCGGAAAAAGGGGTGCTGAAAAAGTGTTTTTAAAAACTAAAATCAAAGCAACTGAAATACTAATAACAAAAAAATTCCCCCGTAAAGTGAAATGTAGGGGACCCAAGTGGCCCCCCGTTTTTTTTATAACATCTGTGGGGGCACCCTACAAGGCCCAAAAAAATTACAAAAACCTGTAGATATATGGGAATTGTTCCCTGCCCGGCCTTTGGGGGGGAAAAGGGATCTGCAAGGTGGGGGGGCCCCCGGCTCCTTGGTTTTTAGAGGTGTCCGACGAAGTTAAGAAATGTTTTTTTTCCCTTTTTTTTGGTTTTAAAAAATTTAACCCCCTACTTAGTGACTTAGTCTTCATTTTTTTTATTTTTAAATTTAGATAAAAAAACCAAAAAAACAGCACGGCGAAATGCGTTTCCCCCCCTCCCCTTTAAATTTTAAAGGGGAAAAAAAAGCGGGGGACAGGTGACTCCCCAAATTTTAAAAAAAACATGAAAAATAGCACAAATTTAAAATTTTTAAAGCAGAGAACGGGGCTGCCCCCCCCCAACCCCCCCCCCCTTGAAAAAATTTCCCCCCCCCCTGCCAATCCCCCCAACCCCAAGGAAAAACGCAAACCCCCAAGTGCTAACCGAGCGCCAAACCGAGCGCCCCCAACCCCCACCCCTCCACCCCCCCTGCTACCCCGCTCCCCCAAAAAGAATTTCCCCCACAACTCCCCCCCTGTGCGCAAACTACTGCTGATAAAAAAAAGGTTAAATTTTTAAGTTTTTTTTGGGTTGGGAAAAAAGTGTCCCCCCCCCCTTTAAAGGGGGTTGTTTAGAAATTCCCCCTCATGAAACTTCATTTTTTTTTAACAAGTTCTACCCTTTTTCTTTAAGTTTTTTTAAAAAATCAAGATTATTGAAAATTAGGCCCCTGGATTCTGGGGTGTTTTCAAAAGTACAAAAATTAAAACTGTTCCAGGGAGATTTGGGGTTTTTTGGGCCAGGAAGTGGGAAAAAGGGGTAGAATTTATAAAGATGATCTTTGAACTACCCTTTCTTCAGCCCCTCAGCAACCGAAAAATTTTTTTCTCAAGGAAATTGAAATATATTTATATTCTAGCTATTAATACTAATAAAAATAGTTAATAGTTTATATTTTTTTATTAGTTTATTTTTTTTCTTGTTTAAAACTAGCTGTAATAACCCACTAAGTATCTAATTATGTTAACAATTAAAAGTTTCCTTACAAATTATTGACTGAGGATGTATCCCTCGGGAAAGCCGCTTGTAAGAAAGGGAGCCAGCCCCCATACCCCACAATCCCCCACAGCTCAATTCTGGAAACCCATCTCCTACATCTCAACTGATGGAGGAGGCAATCATCTGAGGATACGGGGTTTTGATATTAAAGGTTTGATAGTTTTTTGGAGATAAGTTCAAGGCTAAATGATAGGTTGCTTTTTCCCAAAACATCTCCAAACTCCAAACACCCCGTGCAAAATAAGAAGCATTTGGGAGGGGGGGAGAAGAGAACGAATTGTATTTTCCAAAAATTCATAGATCGATTAAAAAAAACCCCTCCCCCTGTTCAAAACATTTTCAAATTAAAAACCCCCGTTTTTTTTTTTCTATTGCGTTTGTCACCCCACACACTATTGTTTGCCAGGAATAGCGAAGGGATGGTCAAGACAATGTCCTGCAAGCTCAAACAGGTCCCCAGATTTACTTACCACGACAGTATTCCCATGGCCAAATTGTGCAGTAAAGTAGAGGGTGGAAGAAGGGGGCTGCTTGGTAAAAGGGGGGAGATGGGAGGGGCCCGGGGGGGGGGGGTTGGGCTGCGTAACCCACCACTTTTTATCTTTTACCGCAATAATTTTCAATCATGACCATGTAGCTTCACTAAACAGATTGTGGCACTTTAAAAAATGGACCACAAAATAATTCCTCGTTATGAGGGTAACAACTTCCCACTTCAGACTGAAAGAAAAATTGATAAAAAAAGCTGGGAAAAGAGCACAAGATCAAGCAACCCTTTTTTTATGCCACTGCTGATAAAGGCTGCCTCACAAGCAATGGCTGACTTTCCCCATGGTCAATGCTCCAGGTTAACTCGTTTCAACCGCTAAACCTACAAACCCTTCCCACAAAAACCGGTATTGCTACTGTACCCCACATGGATTTATGGTTCCTAACATCAAAATGTTCGGGGTTTCTTTAAAAGGGGTAGCCGATCGGGTTTAAATTTGGGTCATTTTTTAACATGGGTTTTTTTTAAACCTTCGACTTTAAAAACAAACCCCCCAAACATGACATTTTTAAAACCCCTCGAAGATTTTTTTTAAAAACTACAAAAAAAAATGGTCCTAAACAAATTCCTAAAAAACAAGGGGAACAATTCCCGGGAAAACCGCCCCAAAAACGTCACCTTTTTTTTTGAGCCCAGATTGCCGATTTTGGGGCAAATTTTTACAGGTTCTGAAGTGTCAAGGAATAATTTTTAAAAAATTTTTTTTTCCCTAGCCTCCAGGAAGTTTTGGAAAATTTTGAAAAAAAAATCAGTAAAATTTTTTTTGGACTTTTGAAAGGGAGTCATTTTAAAAAAAAAAACACCACCCCTAAAAGGGTTCAAACTCTATATGTGTGATATTTACAAAATTTTCCGGGAGGCCTGTTTTATTTTTTGCCCAATTTACTATTAGTTTTGTCTTTTTAAAAAACATTAAGCTACTTGAAAAAAAATTCCCACTCCCTAAAGGAAGTCCCTCAAAACAGAAATCCCCCCCAAAAGTCCCCCGTGCACCCCCCCTAAAACTTCGACTAAAACAGGTTGGTAGCACTCAAATGTTGCTCAATTTTTAATTTTAACCACCCCGGAACAAATATAACCTTTTTTCTGAAGGTGTCGCCCAAAATTTTCCCCTCTGTTAAAAAAAAAATGGTGGTTTTTTTAATCAATTTATTTTTTTGTGACTTTGGGGGGATTTTTTTTTTGAATACCCAAAAATTTAAACGGCAAAACAGTAACCATCAAAAAAATTTTTACCCTGTATTTAGTTTAAAATCTTTTTTTTTTTTTTTTTTCCCAGTGCAGTTATACACCTTTTATTTCGTTGCAAATTTGTCCCTTTCTTTTAATCAGCAGGCTTAAATAAACTCAACAACAAACTCATACCCCGCAGCACAGCTTTTTTAAAAACGGAAACTATACACGTGTATAACTGACAACGTTTAATGCCGACAGAAACAAAACGTTTCAAATTTGACTTAGTAAAAGCCCGAGGGACAAAAAGTTCCTACTTGAAAACCGTAAACATTGGTAAAGCCCGATTGTTTTCAAAAACAAAATCATGAAGCGTGAAAAAAATTTTGGAAACCCAAGGGGGAATTTAGGGGCAAATTTTTTTTGCAACCCCTTCGGGCCTCATTGAGAGACGCATAACATAAATCAAACCCCAAGGGTACACAAAAAGCCCAGTACCCAGTCGGGGAAAAGAT